TTTCCCTACCTTTTGAACTTGAAAGTTTTTAATAATGAATTATTTCATACGTACCAAAACATATGAGATGAATGTATATATTGAGATAGGATAATAAACAATTCTGCCCTGTGGATCCACTACCCATTGTAAGAAATGGAGTATTACAACAGGGCTGAGACTTCCTGCATCACGTCCCTGGTTCCACAGAGGTCACTGCTATCCTGTTATCCTCAATCTCACCTGCCTTTAGAGTTTTATCATAAACGTATATATCCCTGAGTAATATAGTCTTTCACTTGACTTGTTTGGAACTTTACAAAGATGGTGTCAAACTGTACGTATTTTTCTGTGACGAGCTAATTTCTCTCACCATAGTTCTAAGATTCATCCATGTTGATGCTTGATTCATGTGTGTTTATTGTTAATTAATGTTCCATTGAGTGAATATACCCACTTTATTCATCCATTTTCCTAGTGTTAGACATTGGATTATTTCCCATTTTTGCTGCTATGGACTTTCTATGCCTATCTTTTGGGGCACACATGCAATAGGGATCTAGGGTCTGATCCTGGCAGTGGTGCTGCTGGGCCAGTGCGTAGATATACCTTCAACTCACTGACTATTTGCCACATGGTTTCCAAGATAGTTGTACCATTCACATTCCCACCCACAGCATGAAGGGTATTTGTTCCTCTGTCTTCTCACCAACACTTGATACTAACAGACTTTACATCTAGTGGGTGTAAAATGGTGTGATAATATGAGCTTAATTTACATTTCTCTGGCTACTGGTGACATTGAGAGCATCTTCTTATGTTTATTTCCATTCATGTTTCCTCTTCCATGACTTTCTGAATTTTGAACCATGTGAACATATTGCCTATTCAAAAACATAAATGTATTAAAATGGGCTTGTAATATCTCATTTCTCATATGCAAAGGGCTCCACCACTTTCCCCCCAAAGCACACAAATACTATCTCTGAAAAGTGTCACCATAAATAAAACTGCTAACAATACATTGGTGAGTGTTATGGGCTAAATTGGATGCCCCCCCCACCCCACTGAATTCATATATTGAAGTAAGTGCTAACTCCTAATACCTCAGAATGTAACAGTATTTGGAGATAAGGTCTTTAAAGAGGTAATTAGGTTAAAATGAAGTCTATACGGTGGGCCTTAATCCAATATGACTGATGTCCTTACAAGTAAAGGAAATTAGGACACAAACAACACAGACCAAGGGAGACCATGTGAGGACACAGTTGGAAGACAGCAGTCTGCAAACCAAGGAGAGAGGCCTCGGGAAAACAAAACCTGCCAGCAGCTTGATCTTGGACTTCCAGCCTCCAGAACTGTGAGAAAATAGGACATTTCTGTTGTTTAATCCAGACGGTCTGTGGTACCTTGTCCTGGCAGCCCAAGCAGACTGATACAGCGAGCACATTACCGTTTACACAGTGCTTTCACATACTCATTCATCTACTCACTTGTCATCAAATATTAATGGAGCACAGCCTGGGTCG